CCTCCTCCTCCGCCTCCTTCAACACCGTAGCCTCCTCCTCTTTCTCCTCCTCCTCCTCTCCATCCTCCGCATCCTTTTGCCTCCTCCCTCCCCGTCCTCCTCCTCCTCCTCTTCTTCAGGGACTCGCTGACTGCCCTGACGGTTGTTGCCTGCCGGAGAGAGCCAAGCGGTGAGGCCTGGCTCGACACCGCGCCCCCTCGGGGGAGCTCCCCTGTGGGGCCACGAGTGGTGCGAGGGGTGTGCCGACAGGGACATGCGGTGGGCCGACTACCTACCAGACCACCCCAACCCAACCCGAAGACCCGAATTTCGGGTTGGGGGGGGGTACGGGTTCCATATGTGTTTTCTCGATGCTCCCCGACCCCCCCCACTGGAAATGGAGGTCAATTTGAGGCCTTCGGGTTGGGTTGGGGTGGTTTGGTGGATGGTGATGGGCGGGGACGACGCGTGCGGACGCGGCCGCTGGGGGCCTCCGGTGGAGCTCCCTCTGGGGCCACGCACCGTGCGAAGGCCGGAGGCCGTGCCCCGGAACCAGGGGCGCGTCGCCAGAGTGCATCGGCGAGGGGCCCCCGGTGGGGAAGCCCCCCACGCTCTCGGGCGGGGTGGGGCGGGGCACCCTGGCCCTGATGGGCGATGGCTGGGCCGTTGGGGGTCGATCTCCCCCCCCCCCCCTGGATAAAATCTCCCCCCCCTCCTGGACGAAATCCCCTGGACAAAATCCCCCCCCCCCTGGACAAAATCCCCCCCCCCCTGGACAAAATCCCCCCCCCAGGGGGGGGTCGATCTCCCCCCCCCGGACAAAATCCCCCCCGTGTCGGCGCACCTGGCGTACTGACGCGCCTCTGACTCGGCGGGATCCCTGCACTACACTGAGCGAACGCATCGTCCAACAACTCATGCGCCTCCCCTCGGACACGCATGCTGAGGGCGAGGGCGAGGGGGGGGGGAGGGTTGCGAGGAGGAACGAAAACCCACCCGCCCTCGAGGGAGTGAGTGGCTTCCTCTCCCAGCTCCCTTCTTCCCCGTCGGGGGGACGGCTCGCCCCTCCCCCTGCCCCCTCCACTGGACCTGGAAGGGAGGGGGGGGTCGCGACCGCTCGAAGCGTCTTCAAAGAGGCCTCGGCGAACAGGCACAGCTCGCTGAATTCGGCAAGGTGTTGGGCCCACTTGGGGCCCCTGTGGGGGGATGCAGTGGACTACCCTTGAAGTCGGGCCTGTTCCCCTGCAGGGGGGTCTTGGGCGAAAGATTAAACATACCCCACAAATGCTCCAAAGATGTTTTAAAATAGTAAAAAAATAGCCCCCAGACTATTTTTTGACTATTTTTGAACATCCCTCCTGTAGTGGGACAGGCCCGACTTAAGACTGCCCCCTGCTGCTTGATCGATCTCTCCTTCCAGGAAGGCCCCGAGGGGCGTCCAGGGAGGTCCCCGAGGCACCCGCGGGCCCCCGAAGAGGCTCCCAAAAACACCCCCAAGGGGCCCCAAGAGTCTGATCCCAAGGCACCCAAGACGGTTCAGAAGGCCCCCGGGACCAACAAGAGGCCCCCTAAGACGCTCCAAGAGGCCCCCCAAATAACTCTCAAGATGCATCCGAAACGATCCTGGAAAGCATCCAAAAGGCCTCTTGTCTTTCTGCTCGCCGTTCTCCTCCTGCTCATCCTCTTTTTCCTCCTACTCCTCATCCTGATCCTTTCTCCTCGTCCTTCCTCCGTGCCCCCCCTCCTCTTCCTCCTCCTCCTCCGATTATTCCTCCTTCCTATGCCTCTTGAGGTACGACGGCTTCCCCGACACCTTATTCCACGGTCTGCTCCTTCACATCCCTGATCAAGGCAACTCGCCGGGGCATCGTTCCGGGATGGGCTCGTGGGGCTACGCGGATAATCTAAACTTATTTGTTTGTTCCTGCTTTCCTTTGTGCCGCTCGTCCTCGCCCTCCCCCTCCTCGACCCCGAAATCCTCCAAACATGGGCGCGTCGCATCCTGCTCGTCATCACCATCACAGCATGTTGCTATGATTTTCCTGCTCTGTTCGGTCTTCGCCCTCGGCGGCTTCGCCCTCGTCCCGCCCTGCGCCCTCTGCCTTTTCCGCGCTGCAGGTGGAAGGGTGGACAATCTGTTCATAGCGTCGCTGGGGGACAAGGGACCTCCTCTCCCTTGTCCTGCGCCCCTCGTCTTCGTTTTTGTCGTCGCCGTCCATGTCCTTCACCTGAATTGTACTTTTCTTCTGCTCGACCTGTACTCAACGTCCCTTCAACCAGCCTAATCTGCGCCGCAACTCTCAAAACCCTCGCCCGCGGAAGGTGTGGACGTACGATGGGGCGCAGCAGGGGGGCGCGCGACCGCCATGACGACCCAACTTTCGTTCGAAAGTGGTCCCTGCGCACGGCCCAACAATTCTAGACGCTTCGCGTATCCCCACCAGCCCGTCCAGAAACGACGCCCAGGCGAGTAGAGGGTCGTCCTGAGGGGGGGGGGGGGGGCGCGCGACCGCCATAACGACCCGACTTTCGTTCGAAAGTGGTCCCTGCGCACGGTCCAACAATCTTTACGAGCTTCGTCCAGCCATGGCCGCGCGGAGCGTCCACGGGGTCCCAACTTTTTTTTTGACATCCATGTCACACCTCCACATCCTCGGGTAAGTCCGAGGGCCCGAGCCAGCAGCGGAGGGGGATGCTGGCTCCCTGACATAGACCAATAGTCTGAGTCATGTTATTAAACCATCGGCCCTCGCGTTCTCCCACGACCACGCGGAACGCACTTTTCATTGTCGTGCCTTCGCTGGCCAAACCTGCGCGACGGACGTCCCAAAGGCCAGGGGCGTAAACGGGATTGAACGACTGGCGCGCGCGAGGCCCGAGTGAAGATCATCGGAAACGCATGGGGGCCCGAACTCGCTGACCCAGACGCCATGGGGGCCTCAACATGTGTCTTTTCGTCGTTGTGAGGGCATTTTCAAGCCAGCTTCGGCAACCCCAGTCCATAACAACTGCTCACGATGAGCAGGCGGCCACAAGGCCGAACTTGGGGTGTCTGGCCGTTGCCGCCACATGCCGCCATAGGGTTCCACACATCGGGTTCGCCCGAGGCCGCGGCAGCGTCCCAGGATACCGCCCTGCAGGCAGTGCGCCTCGGCGAGGCCGTCGCATATTCACTCGCGGATGCCCTGATGGGGAGCACCGACGGGCGCATGAGAAACGCTCGCCTGCTCAGGCGGCTGGGGAGGGTCCGCGCCCGAGTCCGCGTGAGGCTCGAGGTCAATGGTGGACCCCAAAAATCTTGTCAGCAGCCTCCAGAATCGCCGCAACCCTGCCATCAGCTAGCCTAGCCCAGATCTTGCTTTAACGGGCGAAGAACGGTATAAAATAAACGTTTTCGCTGTTGGGGGCGCCTGTCCCAAGGCGACTGGAAAATTTATACCCCTACGGTGCCACCGTAAGGGTATAAACTTTCCAGCCGCCCAGGGACAGGCGCCCCCGACAGCGAAAACGTTTATGTTATACCGTTCTTCGCCCGTTAATGGCTACGCGCAAAGAGCTCCTCAGTCAGGCGGAGGGAGCTTTCGAGGGCTCACGCACTCTCCGCGATCCAGGGCTCAATGTACAGTCATCGGCCTGACCTAAGGAACGATCAATAAGGAACGAAGCCCCTTTTTATCCCAAGGAATAACGCATGAGGAACAATACATAATACATAACGCACAGGGAACTGTACATAAAGCATGTAAGCCTAAGCAACGACCGAGCCCCTTTTGAACATTAAGTGTTCCTTATTCAGGCCGCTCACTGTAGCCAAGGAGCTCGTGCTGCGGGCGGCTCGATTGTCAATACTCGTCTAGCCTCGGGCAAGACACGCGCGGGTGGTCCTGGGGGCCTCTCGAAGACGACAGATTGCGGCGCAGCCCGTATCTCATCGGGTTCACGCAATTTTGAAGGGGCCCTGGGACACACAAATAAATACACACAAATAAAAGTATTCCCCATATTTTCCCATATTTTCCGGGGTGTTTGTCTTCCCCACCACTTCCCATATGATCCCATATTTTCTGGGGAATCGACGATTAATTGTGTCTGTGTGTTTTTCCCCTCCTGAAATTTACGACACCATGTGCGAAACCGTACCCATCTTCGCGAAGTGGTCGGCCCATGCGTTGTCGAGCCAAGACTCCAGCTCCTCTGGCGGCGTCTCGGACAGCATACCGTCCAAGCGCCGCTGGGCAGAAACCCACCGAAACCGCAGTGGTGGCGGCAGAAGATCGCGGACCTGTGCAGCGGAACAAACATATCGCCAGACTCGAGCATGCTAATATTTGCCATGCTCCAGTCTCGGATTCCAGGAGGTGCCCTCTCGGACCAGGGACGCCATGTCGGATGCGAAGAGCTCGTGCCCAGGATGGCTCTGAGGGCCCACCTTGATGGCTCATCGTTCAACGCGTCCAACAGCCTGAGCAGCATACGGAAGAGGACCATGTAGCTGGCCATCGCTCGGACGTCCATTCCCTGTGTTTTTTTCGGTTTCGTGCGTGGTTTTTTCCCTAAATGATCAAGGATACTCCTCGATGGTCCTCGCCGAAGGAAAATTGCACACGTCCGAGCGATGCCAAATGTAGAGCTCGGACGGGGAGCCACGTGACAAAGTCCAGCTGGCAGACCGACCGGCCGCACCCGCGTACTTCGCGAACGCTGGCCGAGAAACCTGACCCATCTAGGGCGCAAGCAAACCTGCCTCGCTTTTGACCACCCTCGCTGCCAAGAGATACCAGGCGACGCCAAACTACCGCCTGCGCTGGTAAGGCCGCTCGACGAGGAGGCGCGTGGTACGACTTGAAAGTTTTTCTGGGAGCGAAAGCGGGGCAGGTGATTCCCGGTCTGACCCATCTGTGTACGACTTTGGGCCCCATGTGTGAGAGGATGGGGAGCAGGAAGATGAGGAATGGGAAGGGGGAGGGTACCTCACCCTCTCTGCGTGGCGGCCGCCCCCCCTGGCCCGCCGACGAGTAGCGTCAAGCCCTCGTGGCCGTCACCTGCCCCGTCCACCCTTGCGGAAGCCCGTTCTCGGAAATCCCTCGCCGCCCTCGAGTCTGTCGGTGACCCCAACAAGCGTGCCTGCCTACCTCTCTGTTTCTCTCTCTCTCTCTCTCTCGTGTACTCATCGCCAACGTTAATCATACCACGTTGCTCATCACATGAGGAGGCGGAGAGGGGAAGCAAGGGGAAGTGGGCTATCCGACTTTATTATTTTTGTTGTTCTCTCTCTCTCTCTCTCCCCACCTCTCTCCCACAACAGTCGAAGCGGTGTTTGGGCCGCCGTTTGCCACCAAGTGGCGGACAGACTCAGCACAGTGCAATCGACATGCTCCTGGCCCGACCGTTCCGAAACAGAAGCAACAGCCTTCGGAGGTCTGCGTGGACTGCTGGGCTCGGCGCCAGACCCCCTCCTTGGCGCGCGGGGCGCGCCGAGGGCGGCGCCGGAGGCACCGCCAGAGGGGGCCCAGAGCGGCTCCGAGAACTCCACGCGGACCTCCCACATGACTCGCTCATGCCATCAGACGCTGTCTGTCTTTCCTTCGATCCACGTCTCTCTCCCTCTCTCACTGTCACTGCCTCCTCCTCTCCTCTGCCTCTCCCTCTCTCTCTGCCTCCAACCCTCCGTGGGGTAGCCCCGGAGAGGCACCTCGGCACCGTGATCAGCACCAACCGAGGCGATGTGGGTGGCAGGCACGGCCGCCGCGGCGCAAGAGCCCCGGTGCTGCAAGGCCGGAGGGCACCTCGGGCCCCTCCCCTCCCGAGCCTCAGCGCCAGCTGTTCCATTGTGAACTTGCCCTGGCCGCGGGGCCTTCGCCTCACCACGGCCTGGCCCCTGATGCTCGCGCCTTGAGAGGGCGAACGGTGGCATCGGGTGAGGTGGGGCTTCCGGCAGCAGCTCTCTCTCTCTCGCTCAGGGACAACATCCCGAAGCCTCTCTCCTCTTCTCTCTCAGACTTGTGCCCCCCTCTCGCCTGGGGCCTCCTCGGCAAAGATTGGGCCGCGTGCCCGCGGCACGCCGCGGGACGTGTCAGAACGCTTCGTGGTTGTCTGGTAGGGAGTCAGCAGCTTTCCCGTGGCGCCCCCCCCCTCGACACACGAGTTCATTTGACACATCTGATTAAAACCCATCCGCTACCAAATCCAGGGGCACGCTTGTCGTCGAGCTTTGAGCTTCCCGAGGTGCTCCAGAGCTTGCGTGGTCCCCCCAGGGCCATCTGGGATTAACAAATTCCGCGGGGCACCCCCTGGCAAGTTGATTCACTATGTCATGCACATGCTATACCTTGAACGCTGCCTTCTCTCCGTCGCCCTGTTCGGTGTCTAGACAGCCCCAGAGACGACCAAGTCTGTCCGCCACCTTGCCCCCTGGCACGTTGAGGCATTGAGGCATCCCTCTCACCACACAGGGGCATGCCTCGCCCCCTCCCATTACCCGTGTAAAACACAATGGATTCACGCTCCCGAAGCAACGACCCCCCATAGAAAACAGTGGGTCCGCGCTCCCGAGGACCACGATCATTCGCAAACGAACTATGGGCGCCAGATCCATGGATCGGAGAAGGCACCCCTGCAGCATGAGGCCCGCGCCTCCTGATTTGGCGACGGAGCGTGCCGATTTCGCACTGAAGCCGGACTTGGCGCTAATTCACGCGCCTTCATCTGTTTGCGCTTCCTCGAACACACGCACCCCCCCCACTCACACACTACACTTACACTTACACTTACACTTACACTTGCACGTGCACTCACACGTACACCTGCACTGGCACTGGCTATTGTCATGCGCAATTGCACTTACATTTGCGCTTACAACTTGCAGCGCACTTAAACACAGGGACTTACGCTTATACATATAGAGAACACATACACACAGGCACACACATATACTCACAGACACAGAGACACACACGCAGACACACATACGCAGAAACAGCCACACATACGCATACACACAGACGCATACACACAAGACACACAGACACACACACACACACAAACACATACAAACACACAAACACACACACAAACAAAACACAGACACACACCGACACACAGTCACACAAAAACACACGCGATCACAACGAACAAAACGCACAACCACACACAAGCACACACGGACACACAGACGCCCACACAAACAAAGCAACCAAACATCCACAACCACACAAAACACACACACACACACGGACACCCAGGCACACAGACACACCGACACACACACACACACGCAGACACAAAGACACACAAAAACGCACACGCAGACACACAGACACGCAGATACGCAGAAACACAGACACACAAGACACACAGGACACCGATCCACACATACACACGGGAAGAAAACACATTCAGACACACACTCACACACAGACACACACACACACATACACACACGCACAGACTCACACACAAACGCGCAAACACACACAAACACAAGCACACACAAATCCAACCGCAAGCACGACAACAAACACACACACATGCACACACACAAACACGCACACAGACACACCTCACACGCACAGACACACACCACACACACACGCACACACAAACTCACACACACACACACACGTACAAGCGCAGACAAACCCAGGCACACTCACCGCACACAACACAAACACACACACACACACACGCCACGCAGACACCACACACACACGCGCTCACACATATTCAGACACACGTGCACACACAGTCACCCTTTCCCGCTCCCCCCCCCCTCTCGCCCCGTCTCCTCCAGGCCGCCCCAGCTGCAGGAGAGCGTCAGAGAGTCGGCGCCAGCGAGCGCGGCCCCCTCGCGCGCGCAGGGGGGGGGAGGAGAAAGAAGGAGAGGGAGGAGGGTCTTCCTCCTCCTCCTATGTAGAGCTATAGGGCTATAGAGCTATAGGGTTGGAGGGCTATGGGGCTATGGGGCTATAGGGCTATTGGACTGTTGGGCAAGAGAGCTATAGGGTTATAGGGCTATAGGGCTAAGGGGCTATAGGGAGCTATCGGGCTACAGGGCTATAGAGCTTTAGGGCTATAAGGCGATAGAGCACCCCGGCATTTAGGCACTCCCGGGCACCCCTGGGCACCTTCGGGCACCCCCCGGTACCTCTGGGTACACCCGGGCCGGCCACCGAAATCGGCGGCCCACCTCACCTAACCATATGAATCCGCTAGGACTCCTACAGAGGCAAGCTCTGATTGTGGAAACTTTTGGCTGGCGCTCCGCGCGGATTTCTTGGATCTGCGCTGGACCCGCCTCCCTGGCGCGCGGAGCGCGCCAGGGGCGGCGCCGGAGGCGCCGCTGGGGGGGGCAGCGCGGATCCAAGAAATCTGCGCGGAGCGCCAAGAGTTTTTACTCGTGTCACTTTTTCTTCTCCGATCCACTGGCCATCGCTCGGACGTCCATTTCCTGTGCTTTTTTCGGTTTCGTGCGTGGTTTTTTCGCGAAATGGTCAAGGATGCTCCTCGATGGTCCTCGCCGAAGGAAAACTGCACACGTCCGAGCGATGCCAAGTCCAAGCCTGCAGCTCCGGGCCACCGCCAGCGTTCCCCTCCCGACCCCTGCGCTGAGGGTCGCCGCCGCGCCCGCACCACACGGGCCTCTGCCATGCACGTCCGTTGTCGGGGGTCTTCTGAACCGGGTCAATGCAGGGGAACTGGGACACACAAATAAATACATACAAATAAAAAGATCTCCCTATATTTTCCCATATTTTCTGGGTTTCTGTCTTCCCCCCACTTCCCATATTTTCTGGGAATCGCCGATTAATTGTGTCTGTGTGTTTTTTCCCCTCCTGAGTCAATCCAGACCCAGGTCAGCAGGAAACCAAGAATCTGCAATGCAGAAAAAACAAAACTGCAACGCATGTCTTCGCAGGGACCCGGGCCGGCCAATATAGGCGCGGCCGCCTCGCGGCCACGAGCGGCTCGCCAACCCGGGTCAGCCAGAAGGGGTCTTCGCAGGATCCTGCAGGATCCGGTGCCCGTCTCGTGACCCCCGTCTCTTGAGCCCCGAGGGGAAGGAGGAGGAGGAGGAGGAGGAGGAGGAGGAGGAGGAGGAGGGGGAGGAGGAGGAGAAGGAGGAGGAGGAGGAGGAGGAGAGGAGGAGGGAGGAGGAGGGAGGAGGAGGAGGAGGAGGAGGGAGGAGGAGGAGGAGGAGGAGGAGGAGGAGGAGGAGGAGGAGGAGGAGGGGCCCTGGCTGACCCCCGTTTGCATTGACCCCCGTCTCCAGGCGCCCGACGTTGCCTCGGGGGCCGCGCCCTGGGACCTCGGGGAGCGGTGGGTGAGGAGGTCCGCCCCCCTCCGCCAGCGGGGTGTGCCATCCGTGTCCACAAGAGCTGCCAGAGGGGGCACGGGCAGGGCTCCAGGAGCTGTGGGCACGGACGTCTCTCGGCGGTGCACTCCTCCTCCTCCTCCTCCTCCTCCTCCTCCTCCTCCTCCTCCTGCTCCTCCTCCAGGAGCTGTGGACACGGACGTCTCTCGGCGGGGCACTCCTCCTCCTCCCCCTGCTCCTCCTCCTCCGCCTCCTGGTCCTCGTCGTCCGCCTGGGTCTCCGTTCTCCTGGCCCCCCCCCCCTTCGCAAGCCCTAACGTAATCTTGAAACTGCAGCGAGTGTGGGTGGTCGGATATGCAATCTCCTGAAATCGTTGACAATCGGATGATGAGCAAATTCTTGGAGTTTGGAGGCACTTTTGGAAGGACCTCGCACGCGAGATCCATAATGAATTTCTGACAAAAGAAGCTGTCGGAATTCGGCGCTCGACGATGCCTCCCGGTCCCTTGGTCGCTCTCTATCCCTGTATCGTCCCTGGTCCCTCACCCTCTCGACTGTCTCATAAACCCTGGAGGCCTGAATCCAGCGGAACGTTTTGAAGGAGGCGGGCGAGCGGGATGAGGAGGATGAACCCTCCTCTCCCTCCATCCTTCTCTATTCGTTCCCTGCTTCGTCCACCTCTCTCTCTCTCTCTTTCTCTCTCTCTCTCTCCCTCTAACGTGGTTTAATCGCCCGATGGCTTCCCCGATCCCGATCACTTGAATAATCGTCGATTAAATTCGCCGGCCCTGCCGGCGTATAATACCCACCCAAGTTAGAGCGCAAAGGTCGGGGTGGGCCGATGACCATTCGATGCTTGCTCGCGTCATAGCCACCGCTGCCGCCTTCCCCCGTCCCCCATTCGGCCAGCGGAACCGGCCGCCAGGTCTGTGCACCAATCTGGTGCGCCGCCCTTTAAATCCTTCGCCTTCTCAACCTCCCTCGTCCTTCGTCTTCATTGGGCCCTCATCGCCCCTCCCCTTCCTCCCTGCTCATCCTCTTGCTCAGCCGCCACCTCCCCCCCCTCCTCCAATGTGCACAGCTCCCCCATTCCAGTCGCGCGTCATACGATACGGGGCCTCTTAGGCTTTGGAAGGCCCAGGTCCGCGATGACACCCGTCGGCGGAAGGGAAAATCAGCGCAGTGGGACGGGATGTGTGGAAGGGGTAGGGTGTCAAATATGGCGCGAGCGCACCCAGCTTGCCTTCCCCCCTCTCTCCATTCCCCCTTCCTTTCCTTCTTCGGCACGAACGAAATTGGTACGGGAAGAATGGGTACAATGCCCAACAGCAGTTCTTGTTCATTTTGAACAGGACTCGCTGTCCACGCCGCCGCGGCCTGTGTCCATCCATCTGGGACAGAAGGCCGCCTGCCCAACAGCGGCCGCTGCTGGTTTGGGACAACATTTGTTGGTGGGCATTGTACCCATTCTTTCCGTACCCGCTTCGGGCGTCCAAACTTCTCCCCGCGTGCTCCCCCGTCCCCCCCCCTCCTTGCGCTCCTCGGTGCGTGGAGAGTGGACACCTGCTCGTAGGAGCACGGCGGGGCCAGACGCAGGCACAGGCCGCAACATGGCGACGAGGTGGCGGGCAGGAGACGGGCAGAAGAGGACGGGGCAGCGAGAGGCAGAGAGGGGCATGGGCAGGGCAGGTTCCTGTCGTGACGGCCCGGGCGTTGCTCTCTGACACCGCGTGGATCGTTCGGCCCTGAACGGTCGGCGGCCGTCCGGTCGCCAGATCGCTCCACGTTGGCCGGTTCTGGGCCGACGGCGGCGTGCAACCTCGGACGCCCGCGGCGGGGTCGTCGCCACGTCGACAGGGCATGAGCCCACCGGAGGGAAGTGCGGGCACAGGGGTGGTGGCGCAAGGCCACGCGGAGCACGGATACGCGGGGGCACGGAGGTGTGGTGCGTAGCTTTTGTACGGGGTGGCGGTGGTGGTGGTGCGGCTCTAGCACGGAGGTGCACGGCGGCTGCCCATGAGGAGTCGGGGCTCGAGCCAGACAATGATTTCCGTTTTCATTTCGTTTCCGTTTTCTCTCTCGTTCTGTATTCGTTCCGCCTTTGCTAGGAAACCAAAACAAACGAAAACGGTCTACGAAATCGCTAATGCACTGCTTAGCTCGGGCGCTCAGGGAGTTGGAGCAGAGGCAGGGGTAGCACAGCGGGAGAGGCGGCATTAGGATCAACATGAACACTTAGCGGTGGCGAGTGACGGGCGGCCTCGGGAGGCAGGCCACAAGGCGGCCCTGCGCTGCCATACCTGAAGGGGCCCTGGGACACACAAATAAATACACACATATAAAACAAATCCGCATATTTTCGCATATTTGTTTGGTTTTTGTCTTCCCCCCCACTTCCCTTATTTTTGCATATTTTCCTAGGAGTCGACGATGAATTGTGTCTGTGTGTTTCTGGCCCTCCTGAGCCATACCGGCCCCAACGGCATCGACCTGAGGAGCTTGTGCCACGGAATTTCCTGCTGTTGGGGCATGGGCCCATGGAAATCTGAAACCCACGCGTGGTGATGGCGCGTGACTGACTCCCTACCAGACCACCCCAACCCGACCCGAAGACCCCCATTTCGGGTTGGGGGGGGGGGGGATACGGGTTCCATATGTGGTTTTCCAGTGTTCCCCGACCCCCCCCCCCAACTGGAAATGGAGGGCAAATTGAGGCCTTCGGGTTGGGTTGGGGTGGTTTGGTGGGTGGTGAATGACAATGGTTGCCGCGCGCGCCTCCACGGACTTGTTGCCGCCGCCCTCCCACCTGGCGCCGTCTCTCCTCCGGCGGGGCCGGGGCGCCGCTGGGGAGCGCACTTCTGCTGCGCACCCTCCCTCTGCTCTCTCTCTCTGCTCGCATGCTGCCCGACGCCCGGCCGATGACGGCCGTGCCTCTCGACGGACACTGGCGCGGCCCCCTTCTCCGACCGCTCGCCTTGAAGGAAGGGGCCCTGGGACACACACAAACACATCCACACAGAGAAAAGGATGTCCTAGATTTTCCCATGTTCTCGGGGCTTTTGTCTCCCCCCCCACTTCCCACATTTGCCTATATCTTCTGGAGAATCGACGATGAATTGTGTCTGTGCTTTTTTCCCCTCCTCATGGAATGGCACGGCCTGTGACTTCCCTCCGGATCCGTGGTGCCCGAGGCCGCCGGCGCGCTCTCCACGACGCAGGCCCTCTGCAGCCGAGGCCCCCCCCTCGTCTTCGCTCAGCGGCGGCCCTGCTCTTGTCCGATCCACCGGCCATCGCTCGGACGTCCATTTCCTGTCCTTTTTTCGGTTTCGTGCGTGGTTTTTTTCGCGAACTGATCAAGGATGCTCCTCGATGGTCCTCGCCGAAGAAAAATGCACACGTCCGAGCGATGCCAAACATATGTCATCATGCGCCCACGGCGCGTCGCGCCCATCCGGCCATCGAACGCGCCAGCGACAGCCAGAACTGCGGACCGAGAGATCCTCCCTGTTCGCCCTCAATCGCAGATTCAATGCCCCTCTCCAGGCTTTCCTTCTCAGGCCTTGTATTGCTCGGCTTTCTTGTCCATGCACTGCATCATGCTTTCTTCTTTGTCTGTATTCCTCATTCTCTGCACAAGGGCTCAACACAAACGAGGTCCACAAGCCGCTGACAGGATTTCCTCAAAGCGTGTGGGAACCCACGCCCTGCACACCGGAGCCGTGGCGAACCACGCTGTCGGGCTCGCTGTCGGCCAACCTTTGCGAGGCCATCGCCTCCGAATTGCAGCACGCAAGGAACCAATACCTTTTTTGTATGGCGCCGCGTGGCACAAGCAGCCCGCACGCGCGTCCAGGGAACCTGGGCTACAGTCGGGGAGTTGACCTAAGGAACGATAAAAAAGGAACGAGGCCCCTCTTTCCCATACATGAAACTCCGATGTTCCATGGGAACCTCAGGAAAACCCAAGGAGCACTGTGAAGCAACTAAGGAACACGGAGCCCCTCCCCAACAGAAAGGGTTCCTTCCTCAGGGCCCCGACTGTACGGTGGCGCGAGATCGGCCCGCATGCGAGAGGAGGGGAAACGCCGAGGGGCGGCCGCAGAGACAGGCGGCGGGAGAGGCAGGCGCACCCGCGCGGGGAGGCCGCGGGGAGGCGCGCGCGCGGGGCGGCCGCAGGGGACCAAGGCACGATGCCGTCTACCCGTTCTCAATTGGCACTGTGTGTGAGGAGCCTAGTTTCGATTTCGACGAGTGGTGTTCTGAACAAGAGATTTTCGATGACAGCACAGGTGCAAAATTGCCAGAGCATTTAGTGAAAGAAACGATGATGAAAGACATTGGCGAATACAAGAAACAGCTGCTCGACAGAGCTGTCAGCAGCCTCGCGCACTGGGGGGCGCGCACATGGGGTGGGGCGAGGGGGGCGTCTGTTCGACAAGGCAGGGAGGCCTCTTCAAGCGTCCGATCCCTTCCCAAAGCCCCCCCCTGCCTCGAAAGGAGACGGTCGGGGGGGGGCCCTGGCGGGGAGAAGCCTTGCCCTGGAATCGGCGACGCATCGCGAATCGCCGATAGACGATTTTTCAGTCAGTCGGCCGTGCATCCTGAGGACGCGTAGGCAAAAGAGCACATAAAAGGTTAGGGTGGTGCGCCAAAAGCGTCCCACATGCAGTCAAGAGCAGCCCGCCAAACGCGAGGGTGGTGCGCCAAACACACACACACACACACACACACACGAGTCACAAACTTGCAAATACTTATTTTGCCCATTGTTGTCTTGGTCGGCCTCTGCGACGGCGGTTTGGGGCTCAGATTTACCCCCATGGGCCAATCCGTCCCTCCTGTTGCCGCTGGCTCTCGGGTCATAGCGCTCAGCTCTCCCGCAGCCGTGCGGGACGATCCGAGAGCACCCCCGGAGCGCTCTCGGCGAGGCGCCGCTGCCGGAAAAAGCATCCCGAGGCCGGGGCACCGCTGAGGACCAACGAGAACGTCGAGCCTCAAGCGCCCGAAAACCTCGAACCTCCCCCTGAGCGGGAAAACGACTACAGTGGGAGCGTTGACCCAGGGAACCCTAAATAAGGAACGAGGCCCCTTAGATCCACAAATTGGACTTCGATTTCCCATCGAAAACCAAACCCAAACCCAAGGCAAACTGTGAAGGAATCAAGGAACACGGAGCCCATCCCCAACGAAAAGAGTTCCTTCTCCAACGCCCCGACTGTACCCCTCGGCCTGTCCTGGGGTGCGTCCTGACAGTAATTTCGAGGCGGATCCCGCCGTGGCCAGGAGGGCGCCCCGGGATGACCAGAACCGTCCACAAAGTAGCCTCGAACCTCGAACCACGATCCCTCCCATGGGCCTCCCACCCAGTCAGCGCCCCCGAGCAGGGCGCAGATCACTGCGCTCCTCTCGGCGTGCTGCACAACAATCTTGAACTCCGCGGCCGTGTGCATCGACACGGGCTCAGAGGTCCAGACGGGGAAGGTCTGAGCGAGCGGGGCAGCGCGGCGTGGGTGACTGACGCTGCTGCTCGTGGTCGTCGTCGTCGTCCTCCTCCTCCTCCTCCTCCTCCTCCTCCTCCACTGCCTCCTCCAACCCCCTCCTCCTCCTCCTCCTCCTTTCCCCTGCTCCTGCTCCCTCCTTCTCCTTTCCCGTCCTTCCCCCTCCTCTTCCCTCCTCCTCATCTTCGTCGTCCTCCTCCTCCTCCTCCTCCTTCCTCCTCCTCCTCCTCTTCCTCCTCCTCCTCCTCCTCCTCCTCTGATCCTGCTCCTTCCCCTCCTCCTCATCCTCGTCCTCTCTCCCCCTCATTTTCCTCCACCTCCTCCTTGTGCTCCTATCCTGCTCCTCCTCCCCCCTCCTCCTTCCCCCGCCCACCTCCTCCGCCCCCCCCCTTCCTCCTCGACCTCCAAGCGAGGCGGCTGGAGGAGGGACACGGCCTCCTCAACCCTGCCTCGCCACAGTCCTCGTCCTCAATCTTGTGGAGTCGTCGTCGTCCTCCGCCATCTCCTCCTCCCCTTCCTTCTGCTCCTCCTTCTCTTCCCCTTCTCTCTCTCCTTCTCCTCCTCCTCCTCCTCCTCCTCCTTTTCCTCCTTCTCTCCTCCTCTTCCTCTTCCTCCTCCTCCTGCTGTTCCTCATCCTTTCTTCGTCGTCCTCATCCTTCCCCTCTGCTCCTCCTTGTCGCCTCGTCGTCCCGCTCCTCCGTCTCCCCCATCCTCCTCCCCGTCCTGTCTCTCTCTTTCTCTTTCACTTTCTCGCCCACCGTGGCAACCTCCTCCTTCTAGACGCCCTTATACAACATTTTAAATGCAAATTCAAAGTATCACTCATCGCTTCCTCCTGTCATTCGACCGGGCAGAAGGAACCAAGATCAATCAAGGCCAACCCTGGCCTGGCAGACCCCACACCCACGTACAACCGAATCCACCGCAACGTTGGTAACCCATGGCGCCTCAACGATATGGATGGTCCCGTGGCTGAGCGGTTGGTCTATTACACGTCGGTCGGAAGAAGTAGGTAGAAACATGAAGTAGGAAGGCGGATTAAGTTGATTGGGTCCAGGCCCCCCCAGGGTATAACAAAACACAGCAAAAGCGTGTCGAATCTTGAAGTAGGAAGGCGCTTGAAATAGATTGGGATCTGGGAATCCAAAAATACCTACTTTCAACGACCGGCGTGTACTGCTCCTCGACGTCGGTTTCACGCGCTGCCACGCCACGTGTTGCTGTGCCTCACCCCCCGCCGTACAGCGGGGTGCGCAGCCTCCGTTCGTGGACCGTTCTTGGTCCGCACGCCGGCATACGAAACTGAAGCGCGGCCTCGTAGCCCTCGTCAAAACATAGATCTTGGGAATGGCCTCTGGCCCCTCCAATCCGTCCTTACCCCACCACGGTTTATTGGTCCGCACACCGGCATACGAAACTGAAGCGCGGCCTCGTAACCCTCGTCAAAACATAGATCTTGGAAATGGCCTCTGGCCCCTCCAATCCGTCCTTACCCCACCACGGTCTTGGTGCACTCAGATCAAAACCATCCTGTCCTTGCGGTGTGCTGCCTGTCCTGGTCGCCGTCCTTCGCGTACTTTCCTTATCGCTTTCCTGCCCGTCATCTGCCCTCCTCCAGCAGATTCACTCAGCGATGACATCGGCGTTGGCCTCTGATCCCGCGTCTGTTTATCGGAGAAACGTAAGACTCGGGTTCGGGGGACTCGGGTTGGCCTGACGGGGCCATCGTGAAAATGACGAGCGCCAGACTGAAATCTGACGCGACCTCTGCTGCAAACGTCCCACAAAAACTGGACCGTCGAACTCCAGGCCGCGCTCGTCAAACAACGTCGGCAAACCCGAGCTCTGGCTACCTCGAGCCTTACGTTTGCCCGACATTATCGTTCGACCTTGAACAGTCGGGGCATTCCAGCAGCGCTTGGCGGCGCGCAAAAGGGGGTAGGGGTAGGGGGGAAGGCTTCTTAGAAACACCCTGCTTCTTAGAAGGCCCCGGCCTTACATCTGCAGAGAAGGCCATCGCCTTCTAAGAAGCAGGGGTGCTTCTAAGAAGCCTTCCCCCCTCCCCCTGCCCCCTCTGCGCGTGGCCGAAGCGCAGACCGTCCGAATCGGACGAGTCTGGGCCACTGGCGGCGCTGCGTTCTGCACGCCCGCGCCGGGGTCGCTGCCGCTTCGGCGCGGCGGGAGCCTCCCGCACCCATGCCTCCTCCCCTCTCCACGGCACCTCCCGCTGCCCTCTCGCGGCTTCTGTGATCACTCCGCTGCTACGGTAGAGGGAGCCAAATAGTGGACACTCCCCCGCCGCCCAAAACTCAAAGTTGGCACGTGCGGGGCAGACTGCGGTCGAAGTGCAGCTCATCCAACCCAACGCCAACATTGATCATGGGGGGGGGATTCACACATGAATGTGGCATGACTGTTCGCTTATTCTTTCCGAGGCCGGTTAACGATCTCCCCGTCAACACGCGAATTGGCATGATTGGCCGAAAGCTGCGAAAGATCTCAGGGCCTGTTTCCCTCATGACCCGTTTGCATTCATATTGCGAGCTGCTTCTGCTACAACTCTGCTGAATCGCTTTGATACCGAGTCTTGTCATCCTGCCGAAGCGGCAGAAAATTTCAGGATCCGTTTGCATTCATGGCTAGCCGCCTCTGCGATCACTCCGCTGCCAGCTGCTCTCCCCCTGCCAGCACGCGGGTGCGAGGCCTCTGTGGTCGTGGCGCATGCGACCCCCTCGCGTGCCGCCGCCGCGCGCAGGGAGGACGACCGCCGCGAATAGAGGGGCAAAGGCGCGCTAAGGCAGAGCGACGCGGGGGGCGTGCCAGGGGGCTGGAGAACACTCCCAACGGGGTACCACCGGCGCGACAGGATCAAAAGATGCGCGGTGAGGATGCAAGGACCTCAGGCGGCCAACTTGAAACCCTTTGAACGGAAAAGGCCAACGATAGCGGCCAAGGATGGGCCGGATACGCAATGACGAATGTGTGCCCTGGAAAGCTGCTCGCTCTTACGATCGCATCTTGCTGCAAGATAGGCCCCGAGAGATTTCCGCGGCACAGAGGGACCGAAGAGAGCCCAAACCACACACCAAGAGCGCTCCACGAGGACACCTGGAAAGTCCCCTTGCGCAGCGAGACCCCAACCTACTAAACGCGTGCCCTGCTTGCGAAATCTACACTATCAAATCTCATCGCGTTGAAAGAACAAAATTGGAAGAACACGGCCGAACACTCTGGGCTGATGACCTCCCTGCCCATGTCCTGCTCCAATCGACCGCCTAATTCTCCCCCTCTCTCTCGTCTCTTGCTCCCCATCCGCAGCATTCAGCTCTTCCACCGTGTTCATCCTCTTTCACTTCGCCCTTCCCTGTCCGCCCGAACAAGCACATCGTCACAAATCTCATTTTCTGGGGATCGGCGGTATGGCATACTCCTCAGAACTGATTACCTATTTGTTCAATCCAATTATCAGAGTGCCCGCGTGGCATTTAATGATCTACCATGTGCAACCTCAGCAAAAGGAGACGCCGTTGGCGAAACTGGCATCTGCAGCAAGCACAGCAACGAACGCTATCCAACCCGAGGTCCTCTGGAAAACAGCGGCGGTTTCAACTCACTGAACGATGTCGGAACGAATGCCGCGCGCTAGTGATCCATGGGCGGCGTGCTTTGAAGCAGGACGTTGAACACCACGACTACTCACGTCAGAGTGCACATGGACATGGGCACGAACTCCCAAACAAAGGCTTCCCGAACAAATCACAACAACGACAAACTGAAACACTGAATATGATGTTTGGCAACCTTTGAGTTGTCTTCCATTGAACATTGGAAATACATCGAGATGCCAAGCAATCCACACCAATAGAAATCCGCATAAGCCATGGGGAGAGAACATGCGCGTCGGCAAATGCAACTCCGACGACCGATGATGCATGGCGACCGGGTATAATCAAGCCACAACACACCACAGACAAACATAGCCAGCTTATCTGAGATGTCACCATGTGAACTTCCAGAACGCAGCGGGCTTTGATCTAATTGCGATGTGTGTGTGTGTGTGTGTGTGTGCGCGCGTGCGTGCGTGCGTGTGCACCAACATGAAACGAATTTCAAACATGACATCGAGTGCCGCAATATTCGGACATGACGGCCTCCAAATGGATGCGGCGAGGCTCGTGCATGGTGGCTCCAGTGGTATGATGGTGGGCCTCATGACAGCGAGTTTTGGGACGGGCTCGAAACGGTTGGCTGGCACGATTAAGTTCGCCTGGTGGACGCAGAAGTCGGATGTTGCCAGTGGTGACCCTGGCCCAATATGCTCCCAGCTTTTCGATCCGTTCTGGAGCTTAAGGGGCCCTTTGGGCCTTGCGAGGGATGCTCTCGAGGCCACCTGGGCGACGAAATCGAACGGGCCTTACCCGAGAAGACCTGGCGATCCTACGCGGGTCGCCAGCTTGGCGCACCGCATGGAGAAGGGTGCGCTCACGCACGGCCTCGAGGCGGGAAGCCGACGCGCGAATGCCAGCGCAGTCGCGCCCCGCTTCCGTTCCGTCGCTCGCCCTGGAAAAGCCGGGACCGCCTTGGGCCAGGGCCACCTCCGGCAGCAACCGAAGGGCCTCGGATTCTCGATACCACGGGCCCCGCGCGGCACTGCCGGGGGGGGAAAGGGGGGGGGGAAGGGCGGGGCCTCTGCGGCGGCGGAGGAGAGGTCTGCCAGCCGGGAGGCGTGGTTCCAAGGCGATCTACCTTGGACCCGCGCGGGCGTCGCCGCCACATCTGGGCGGTACGAAGCTGCCGCAGATTGCGCGCAGAAAACACATTATACACCACCACTGTGCCTGGCCAGGGCCATCCTCGGCCCTGGCACGGAGCAGAATGTCAGCCCTGGAATATTCTGCCCCCGCGGCTGCGGCGGCTACGGAGCTGCGTCGTTTCAGCTTTTGCTGCCTGCTGTGATTCGCGCGACGTCGACGGACGTGGCTCTTGCGATCTTTGGCCGCTCACGCACATCTCACCAATGGCCCCAATATGTGTAGTACGTTCCTTGGGCTCACACTGCGCCCTCCTGGCCGAAGCCAAGAGGGTATAAACGGAGACCATACCCAAGACTGAACGCGGAAATGTCGGGTCGATCTTGGTCACCGTCGATCTCAGCGTCAACTCGTAGATCATCCCCGCTAGTCGGCCAAGATCGGCACCGGCAAGACCCCGCGACGTCTTGGCCGTGGCCCCCGTGCTGCACGGAGCGCAATGCAATGCGACGCATTGTGCGACTGCGTCAGAGGGAGAGAACTGATGCCAGATTCCAGGGTGCACATCCGAAGGGGGGAAGGGGGGAAGGGGACGAGGAACAGGAGGAGGAGGAGGAGGAGAAGAAAAAGAAGAAAGAGGAGGAGAAGAAAAAGAAGAGAGAGGAGGAGGATATGTCGGTTCTCAGGACCGGTCAGTCACGCTGGCGGGGTGCCCAGGGGGCATGGCTGCGGGAGGGGGGCGCGCCCGGCCTTCGCGGGGTCCCAGTCGCCCAGCTGCGGGGAGGAACCCACGATGAACACGCCCTGCGGCGCATCGCTCGGGCGTCTCGATCTCGCTCCCTCCCTACGCTACGATTAAGTCGGGCGTGTCCCCCTATAGGGGGATTTTCGACGAAAAATAAAAAATACCCCCCAAAAGAATTAAACAAATTCCGAAATAATATGGGGACTATTTTTAAAGTATTTTTTGACCTTTTGGGATCTTTTTGGTGTATTTTTTATTCTTCGTCGAAAACCCCCCTGTATGGGGGACAGGCCCGACTTAACGCTGCGAACATATGTACGCAGACACCCTCCGACGAACTTTGCATGTACCTTCGAGGATGGTGACGGTGTACCAAGTCGCTGGGTCTCAACCCTGATGTGTGGACCGCCACCCTCTGGGACCCTGCCCCGACGCCCAAGAACAATCCATTGCAGGGTGTCCGTGTACTTTTCTGTGGCGGACTGCCGTGCAGGCTGCGCGCATCGCCTGGACAATCGCTGCCGAAGAGGCCTGCGCATCCAAAACAATCGGGTTTCACCAGACCGCGGGTCTGCCGGGCGTACAGTCGGGGGCTTGACCTAAGGAACTAAATAAGGAACGAGGCCCCTTTTTTCCATAAGTTTGACTCCGATTTCGTATCGAAAGCCTAGGGAAAACCTAAGGCAAGCTGCGAAACAATTAAGGAACACGGAGCCCCTCCCCAACGAAAAGGGTTCCTTGTTCAGGGCCCCGACTGTAGTTAAGAGTGCTCGTCGAGGGGGATCAGGTATGGCAGCGCAACAGATCTACCAGGGCCCGCCTGAACTCCTTGTGCTTGCACCTCATTGAAGGGGAACTGGGACACACAAATAAATAGACACAAATAACCAGATTCCTCATATTTTTCAATATTTTCTAGGCTTTTGTCTTCCCCCCCACTTCCCATATTTTCCTATATTTTCCTGGGAGGCGACGATTATTTGTGTCTGTGTTTTTCCCCCTCCTGACTCATACTCATGGATGAAACCAAATACTATTGCGCTCGGGGAGAAACCACAGCACATGATCAAAGCTCACCTGGGCAGTCCAGTGGCGCCCCCCTTCCTTCATGTTTCAGGTCGCCAAATTTGGTAGGCACGCCACACAGCAACACTGCGCTCATCTCGAGCCCGAACCAACTTGCCGCAGCCTGCGCCGTTACGAATCTGTCGACGGCCGCCACCGCAACCCTGCCGCACCCTGGCAATCCGATGCAGAACCCTGCGCCGACCCTGGTCCGCAGACGCAATCGCAAACCGCTTTGTCTGATTTTGGCGATCGACCCAATTCAGACAACTGCTCCGACGGCCTCACATGGCCGTTTCGCTCGGGACATCCTCTAGACATCGGCTCCGGAGTGGACTCTGAATTTCAAAACTTGTCATTTCGTTGGAGCCATCCTCGACAACTCGGCTTCGGAGAGGCCTCTGGATTTAACGAATAACGGTTTCGCTTGAGACATCCTCGACAGATAAGCCTCGAAGCGGACTCCGAGTCTCAATCATGACCGTTTCGCTCGAGACATCCTCGACAATCTGCCTTGGAGGGCGCTTTGAACAGTATCCCCCCACGGGACGCCAACATGGCCCCAACAATTGGTGCCGACCCCTCGTCGAGGCAACATCCCTAACACCCACTGATTGCAAAGCCTGCGTGCACACTTCCCCCCTATGGGGGCTCGCCGTGTCTCCCGCCCTGCGGGCTCAATTGAAGGGGCCCAAGGACACACAAATGAATACACAAAATAACAATATTCCCTATATTTTCTTATATTTTCTAGGTTTTTGTCTCCCCCCCCACTTCCCATATTTTCCCATATTTTCCTGGGGGTGGACGATTAATTGTGTCTGTGTGTTTTTTCCCCCCTGATCAATGACGAGAATGAGGGTGAAGGCGATGAGCGTGAGAGGAGAAGAGGTGGGCATAAGGCGAGGCGTCCGCTCCTTCCTGCGCGGGGGGTGTCCAGATACGAACAAGGACGCCGCTCAGGACGTGGGGCAAGCGGATACCAAGCATCCAAGTTCGACTCCTGCCAGATGTCGGAGGTCGGGAAGGGGTGTGGCAGAAAGGGGTATTGTGCCAATCGTGGAAACGGCGATGCGATCTGCGATCGATGACATCGCCAGATTCCCCTTTACATGAAATTAGCACCACACTCCTTTATACCTTGCCACTTTCCTACCTCCAGACAAGTCCGGCGGCCTGGCAGCAACGACACCTGCCAGGCAGACATGGGGGTCGGTGGTCCTCGCCGGGATTCGTCGCATTGCAGGTCACCTTGAAGCACACCTCCCCTCGACTCCCGCCCGAGGCGAGCTCTGAGGAGTGGGGAAGGATGGCAACAAGGCGGGGGAAGGAGAGCAAGAGCCGATTCGCCAAGACGATGACCCAACAACCAGCATACTGCTAAGAAGAAACCCGCTTTCGCCTGACTTCTCTCTGTCAGTCAATCTTCTGCAAAGCCAGTGCACGGCAAGAGGCCCCTAAGCAGCGCAAAGACACTCCTAAAGCGGTCCACAACGAGCCTCAAGTTGGCAAGCTGGAAAAGGGGTCCCGAGAAAAATAAAAGCTGTAGACCACACTAGCGCTTTCTCCTTGATACATGTTTATCCTGACTAATTGTTTGATAACCCAAGGCCATGGACAGGTACGGAAAGCAGAAAGCGGCGCAAAGCATCAAAGGCCCTCAAGACCATTTCGTCATGGCGATCAAGACGTTCCGACATGCCGTAACACAGCCCCAGACCGGCCCACTGCGGCAATAGGACCGCTAAGGACCCCCAGACATGCGACGTCGTGTTTTTTAACAAACGTGGCCTGGCAAGGGCCCCTGGAGGCCGAGAACCGCCCAAAGCCTCACGCCATGTTCTCTGTGCGACGCGAGGGTGCCAGGATGTCTCGCGCCAACAATCTTGAAGGGGCCCTGGGACACACAAATAAATACACACAAATAACCAGATTCCGCACATTTTCTCATATTTTCTGGGTGTTTGTCTCCCCCCCCCCACTTCCCATATTTTCCAATATTTTCCCATATTTTCTGGGGAATCGACGATTCATTGTGTCTGTGTGTTTTTTCCCTTCCTGCAGTCTTCCCCACCTTGCGCGCACCGAGCGCGCCAGATCCACGAGCCCTTGGGCGCGCGCCGAGGTACTTACACATCGCGGCTCGGGCTGGGCGGGGGGGGGATAGCAAAGGGGGGCTTTGAGTGAAGGGCCCCAGGACACACAAATAAATACACACAAATAAAAATGCTGACCATATGTTCTCATATTTTCTGGGTTTCTGTCTTCCCCCCCACTTCCCATATTTTCTTATATTTTCTGTGGAATCGAGGATTAACTGTGTCTGTGCATTTTCTCCTGATTGAGAACCAGCTCACGTGGCTGATTTTCCCGGCGCCTCCGCCGGGAGGCGCGCGCCGGGAGGCGCCCATGTGTCGAGGCCTGGGCCCGGCGGCGGGGCCGAAACCAGCTGCACGCAGCAGCTTTCGTAACCCCCCCCTTTCCCGATCCCCCCCTCTCGTTCGGCCCGAACGGCCCACACATCCGCTCTATCCACGTCGTTGTGTCGGGCCTCCTCTGATTTGACACGGCCCACGACTGGCCAATACTCGACCTCGGGATGCCCCTACAGGGCAGCTTTTAATACATAGGATTTTTAAACAGATAGGATTTTTACTACATGACTAATGCATGAGTAAGTGTATGCGTGAACTCATCGTTGTTTTTAATACTAATCCCCTGCATTTTTAATACATGATCCGCACGCGGAGCATGTATTAAAAACGGTGGCTCCCAATTGTGTGCTGTGTTTTTACGGGGTATCCCGATGGCCGCGTCCGATTGGCAGCATGAAGCCGAAGCGGGGGCCTCACAATGCGTGGGCTGCCACCTGTGTTTTTTTACATGGCATCCCGATGGCAGCCTCGGATTGGCAGTTAGCATGAAATTGGGCCTCCATGGGAGGCCCCCCCCCACCGAATTTAACAGGGTACTTTGGTATAGGAAACAATTGGTTCCCAAAATGTTTGGTCTTTAGAAGCTCTGCGCGGCGACGCCCCCGTCGCCACGCGTGCCCTCCGCGTGCCTGCGGGGGCGCCGCCACGCAGAAGCACCGGAGACCGAGCATTTGGGGCGTCGCCACGCACGCCCTCTGCGTGGCTGCGACCAAATCCTAAAACCAATCAAATTCGCTACGGCAGGTTCGTGTCGTGCCGACCCCAGCGTTGGTTTTTGACACCGCAGGGATCGTTCAACCTTGAACGATCGGCCGCTGCCGCAACGTCCGATCGTTCAACATCGATCGATTCTGGGTCGCCGGCGGCGTTCAACCTTGAACGCCCGCGCTGGGGTCGCCGCTGGTCGACACGACGCAAACCAAGGAGCACTGCAAAGGAGCCCTCCGGGCGGCCCCGCGAGAAAAGCTCCGCAGCCTCTCCCGCGGGCCGCGGCCTCCCACGCGCCACGGCGTGCTGCCACGACCGTGGGCCCCCCCCTATAGAGCTCTCTCGACCACAGTGAAGGAGCCCTGAGACACACAAATAAATACGCACAGATAGAAATATGTCCCATATTTCCCCAAATAAATGCGCACACATAAAAAGATGACCCATACTTCCCCATGTTCTCGGGGTTTCTGTCTGCCCCCCCACTGCCCCTATTTTCCCATAGCTTCTGGGGAATCGACGACTCATTGTGTCTGCGTGTTTTTTTCTCCTCTTGACACCCCCCCCGTGGACGGGCTCTGCGCCTCGGCTCGCCGCTTGCTTCCCGGGCCCGAAAAAATGCCGCCGCGCCTCTGCCGCGGCGCCTCGTCGAGGCCCGAGGCGGGGAGAGAACTTCTGTGTGGGCATCGCCGCGGCGCCCAGCGAGGCCCGCCACAGGCTGGGGAACGCCCTCGGCGCGTGCGCGGCCCCCGCCCGTCGCCCCACCTCACTGCCGGGCAACGTCACGTCAAATGAGGGGACCAGCTCAGGGGGGGAAACCTCGGGCCTGAATCGGCGACTCATCGCCGATCCATCGGCGACAGGCCGCCGATATCGGGAGCGGCCAAGAGGGGGGTGTCCAAGAGGGGGGGTGCAGATCATGACCGGCGGCATGTGCGCGGCCCAGCGGGGGGGGGGCAGGGACGTAATGAAATAAGAAGAGGCGCCGTGAAACCTGGGGAAATATCATGGCCACCGCCATGAGATCCACCCCCCCCTAGTCATCACCCCCCTCTTATCCGCCCCCGACGACAGCGCGTCCGCACGTTCCTGGGCGGGGTGGGCCGTGGAGCCCCCTATCTGCGATCGACGGGCGATTGAGGGTCGGCGCATCCCCCCCTGAGAGCCCCACCGCCCTCCCCCTGATTGAAGGGGCCCTGGGACACACAAATCACTACACACACAAAAATAACAGGATTCCCCACATCTTCCCACATTTTCTGTGCTTTTACCTCCCCCCCACTTCCCATATTTTTCCACATCTTCTTGGGGATCGACGATTCATTGTGTCTGTGTGCTTTTTTCTCCCTCCTGACTGCTGCTGCCCCCGCGAGAGGCCCCTCTCGGGCCCGCGGGGCCTGAGCAGACGTGAAGGCGCGGCCCTCGTGCGCGGGCAGCACGGGGTCGTCGGGCCTGCCGCGGCGGAACGGGAACAGCGCGGCCTGCAGGGGGCCACGTGCGAACCCCACCCCTACCGCTCCCGAGCGAAGTGAACCCCACCCTCCCCCCCAGAAATCGTGGGGAAAGGGGTACAGTCGGGATTGATTGGATAGGACACGCGATAGGACGCAAGACCCTTCCGAGGGCCACATTGCCATAGGAATGTAGGAGGCACGGGTCGCGACACACAGGGCACAAGGGTACCCTTGATTGGCAGGGTCGACCTACTAATCGACCTCGACTGTAGGGTTCGCATGTGGCCCCCCAGGGCACAGCGCGGCCTGGTCCGCGTCGAAGCCGGAGCAGGGGGAGAGGTAGAGGGTCGCGAACTCCAGCAGCACGCTCTCGCCGCCGCCGAAGCTCACGGCCCCCTGCGCGGCGGGCTCGTGGCCCCCGCCCCGCAGGTGCTGGTAGATGGCGTTCCCCTTCGCCGCGTTCTCGAGGCTGAACTTCTCGAACCACTTCTTGTCGGGCCTGCCCTCCACGGCCTCTCGGGTCGGGCGAAAGGGGGGGATAGCAAAGGGGCGGTTTGAGAATCAACTCGCGTAGCTGATTTTCCCGGCGCCTCCCGGCGCTGGGAGCGGCCATGTGTCGAGGAATTGGCCCCTCGGTGAGGCCGAAACCAATTGCATGCAGCAAATTTCGTAACCCCCCCTTTCCCAATCCCCCCCTTTCGCCCGACCCGAGCCTCGATGGCCGAGTGCATCTCGCGTCCAGGCGCGGTGTCAGCCAGCCTGCGGAGCCACTCGGGCTTGTTGGAGCCGGCCGCCTCCAGCAGCCGCACGGCGCCTCGGAAGTCGAACTTCTGCTCCTGCAGCTTCTTCCAGCAGCCCGCCCCGAACAGCCTGTCCACGCCTTCCGAGATCTTGGCATCGGGCAGCCACGAGACGACCACTGGGAGCCCCTGGTCGGCCCACTCGCGGGCCTGCTTGATGCGCTTCTCGCGCTCCTCAGGGGTGGGTGAGCTCCCCTTGTTGAGCAGGGACCGACTGTCCCGGCATTCCTATAGTCCTACCACGAACTGTTTTCTTTAACCCAACAATGTTTTAAAAACAAAAACGAGGTTCTTAGGTCCCAACCAGAAATCAGAAATGTTCTAAGAACCTTTCGTGGGAACCACAAAAGGTCCTTAGAGCATTGTTTGGTAGGACTATAGGCACGCCAGGACGCTTCGCCACTGCTTGACCTTGATGTTCTTCACCCAAATGAGTGTCGGCACGGCCAGCCCGGCGCGGACCTGCCTGTCCGCATAGGCCTTGATGTACCGCTGGAACCCGCTGCCCCAGGGATCTCGGGCGTTGCCGTGGGGCGACCCTGGCCCGAGGTGTTTGGAGTCCCGAAACGGTGCGGTGACGGACCGTGCGGTGACCTCGAAATCCCCCCAGACCTCACCGCACGGTCCGTCGCCGCACGGTCTTGGGACCCTGGAAGCCCCTGTCGCCCGATACATCCTCGGAGAACGGCCCGAGTCCCAAAACCGTGCGGCGACCCCGAATCCCCACCGACTCACCGCACGGTGCGGTCACCACCCCGTTTGGGGGCCCCCGAGAGGTGCCCCCGGCCTCTCCACGGGCGGCCCGGGGAGACCCCCAGGCTCGGACACGAGACGTCTTGAACTGTCCAGCACAGGGCAGCTTTGAATGCATGGATTTTCAAACATATTGGATTTTCAACACATGATTCATGTATGAACGAATTTGTGCATGAACCCCTCGTTGTTTTCAATACTAAATCCCCGTACTTTTAACACAGGATCCGCACGCGGAGCATGTATAAAAAACAAGCGGCACTGCACGGGGCCCCCAGCAGCCCCGACCCTCCGCCCGGGGCCAGGGCTTCGTCCCGAGTCGGCTCGTGACGGTCCTGGGGCCCCTCCGACGGCCCCCGGAGGCCGAGCACTGCCGAACGCCCTCCCCCGCAGGGCGACGAACTCTATGCACATCCGCCGCTCCCCGGCCAGGCCCATCCGAAGTCCAGCAGCGGTGTATACGCCACGCCCTCCTGGCGTGCAGGAGGGCGTGCACAGTGGATATGTGTATAGATTTCGTCGCCCGACCCCCGCCGTGACTTCCGCACGATTACCAGCCTGGAACATATCCCTCTTCCTATGCTGGGCATCTCCTCATCACGATGCCATTCTTAGGGATTCCCTTAGTTTTTCAGGGCGAATCCCTAAGATTTTCATCGCCTTTTGGCGTGCCAATCTTAGGGATAGGGATACGTTCGAGGCTGGTGACACGACGCGAGCATCACTGGGACGCGGCCCAAGGCGGCCCTGGGCGCTCCGAAACGGCGCGCGGGGCCGGGGACGCCTCGGCGCCAGGACTGCCCTGGGCAACCCCCGCGGGGATCGCCGTCGACCACCAGGAAGTCCGGGCAGAACCGCTCGATGGCCTGGGCGGCGGCCTCGTCCTGCCGCCGCTGCTCGCTCCGCTGCTCCTCCGAGGGGGGGCCACAATCCGGATGGCCCAGAGAGCTCAGACATGGCCCGCCAGACCCAGAGACCTATCCGGGCTGCTTCAAAGCTCGACTGGAGCTCCGATGCAAGAATCGTGGCGCTATCGTCCGGCCTCCTGGAGAGTCAGGGAAAGGGGGAGGGACCGGCTCCGCACTGGGATCCTGGCCTCGCATGGCTGTCTAACACTTTTTTCGCCCGTCTGCGGGCCCCGGGGCCATCACAGGCCGAGCTGGCTCGAAAGATCTAGCGCTCCGGTCGCGACTTTGGCTGCAACTGGTTCGCGCCGTCGGATCCCAGGGAGGAGGAGGAGGGGGGAAGCACTGGCTTGGAACTGGCAACGCATCGCCGATAGTAAAACAGGGCTAGGATCGGGATAAATCGCTCCAGAGCGTTCCGGAGCGCTCTCAGAGCGTTCCGGAACGCTCTGGAGCGGCCGCGGCGCCCAATACATCCTCCAAACCCGCCGATTCTCGGAGATCTCGAGTTATCCCGATCCGATTTTGTCCCGATCTTCGCGTCGTTTTAGATGGATGTGGCGACAGGCCCCAGACACAGTGGGCACACGAGGCGACGCATCCTGCGACGAGACACCGAAAGAGGCACTGTCCTGCGTCGACCTTCCGTGGGGTGCCCCGGGGCTCTGTGGGCCCATCGCGGGATAGGAGGTCCTCGTGGTGCACCCGCCGGCGGGCGAACTTTCTGTTTGGTGTGCCGGCTGTCGACTAAACGCCATGTTCCTGTAGTGTTAAGTCGGGCGTGTCCCCCTACAGGGGGATCTTCGACGAAAAATGAAACATACCACAGAAAATGATCAAAACATAATCCAAACATAGAGTGGGGACTATTTTTTGAGCATTTTTGTTACTATTTGGGAACACTTTTTGAGTATTTTTCATTTTTCGTCGAACATCCCCCCTGTAGGGGGACACGCCCGACTTAACTGCAGTGGGGGGCGGGGGGGCTGCATGTCCAGGGGGTCGATGCCCTCAGGGCCGGTTTCCTCTCCTCCGAAGGGCCCTCCTCCTCCTCAACGTCGCAGACAGATCGGCGATAGGCCCTCGATAACGAATCTGCGCGTCCCTGGGAGGGAAGGGCTCCTCGAGCCCCTATCTGCGATCATGTCCAGGGGGTCGATGACCTCAGGGCCCGTTTCCTCTCCTCCGAAGGGCCACATCGACCTGGAATCAGCGAGACGTCGCAGACAGATCGGCGATAGGCCCTCGATAACGAATCTGCTGTCGAATAAACGCCATGTTCCTGTAGGGGGGGGGGGGGGGGGCTACACGTCCAGGGGGTCGATGCCCTCAGGGCCCGTTTCCTCTCCTCTGAAGGGCCACATCGACCTGGAATCAGCGAGACGTCGCAGATAGATCGACGATATTGGAAGCTTGGAAATTGACACCTACACCAACTCAGGGCGTTGCCTCCACCAGGGGAAGATGATCCTAGATGTCGGTGTTGGTGGTAATCTTTCGGCCACCTAGGAAGCCCAAATATTATCACCATCACCGAGATCCGGATCGCCATCCCTCGGTGGAAGCACACCGCCGATATTGGTGTTGGTGTCACCTC